TAGATACAAAACTTCCAACACCCCATAACGACCATCACCACCACGGCGTGGCCACCCTTCCCACGCAGATCACGCCCACGCCCACGCCCACGTCCACACAAAGCACACCCACCTCTACACAGAGCACACAGACCAGTGGCCGCTTTCTCGGAGGCTATGGCGACGACGCTCTTCGGGGACAAAAACCTGGGCAGCGTCGCGCTGCCGGCGTCGCAGCAGCGTTGCGATGTTGATGCGAATTCGGACAGCCACTGCTGCGACACCGGCAGCAGCATCAAAAAATCCGACAGCAGAAGGGGAAGGAGGGGGAGGAGAGGAAGGAGAAGGGGAGGGAGAGGAGAGGAGAATTCACCGGCGGCAGCAGCACAGTGGAGAAAGGTCGCCGGCGGCGGCGGCGGCACCAGCACTGTGGGGAGAGCGAGATACGGAAAGAGGGGGGTGAGGGATTTAGTGAAAAATCGGGGATTTTATGGGGGGAACGTGAGGAAATTGGAAATAGTTATCTACTTAATATTTAAAATTAAAATATCTAATTTTTGAAAAATGAAACTTCACATCTGGTTTTGGAAAAGTGAAGTTGAAAAGAAGGGTTTTGTGTAATTACCACTTTAGCATATTAGAGAAGGGGAAGATGGAGGAACTTGCCGTAATTTTAAAACTAGGAGTATTTTTGAAATTATCATAAACCTGAGGGGGATGTTTATGAAATTTACCCAACACTAATTAATCCTTCATGTCACAACAAACAAAGTCTTAATGGCAATAATTTTAGAATCAACTTCATAAATATTTCTCATTTAACTACTTTGTTGAAATTTATTGAAAAATCTAAAGTAGGAACCAAAGGTTGTTAGTGGTGTTGTGGGACACATTCTGTAGAAAGTTACACCATAGAGTAATCTCAAATAAAAGAGGATCTCTCTATGAACAAAAGCTATTCTCAACTTTGTTACATTCATTCAACCATTAAGAGACAGAGGCATGTTAGTCTTGGTCCTAATTAACCCTTCAAACATCAAATTAAAATTCTTTCAACTGCTTCTTGGATTCACTTGGGAATATGAACACAGAGTCCAAGCAAAGTCCAGCCTTTGTGTGTGTGCAATCAATTTGAGCCATTGAGAACTTGAGTTTTGTTGGGGTGTAAGAATTGTCAACAACAAAATCTCCTACATGATAGTGCATCCATTTCCCTGCAGCCTCATTCAAATAACAATTTGAAGTTGTATGCTGGCCATTTGATGGTTCTAATTTGAACTTGACAGGCTTAATGTTCCAGCCATGGACTTGTTCTAAATCACCGATGATTCGCCGGCCAACTCTTTTCGAGGCTTTCCCTATCTGCAATCGAAAAAACAGGCTGTAATAACCAGCCGGAAACTCGAATTCTAGGTTGCCTTCCACTTCTAGCCACCACATTTGCTGAAGATAAGCAATTGTGTGAAATCTGTACATTTTTCAAGGATCATTGAATGAGCACAAGGAAAAAAGTATCATCAGTATTTACAATTTTTTAATATTTCATTTTAGTTCTTGACTAATTACTCTCGACATACTACGCCAAAATATAAATATTTATTATTTGCTGGTTTGGAATAGTTTAAAAAGTTGCAGAAATGTTGAGGTCGAAGTCAACAATTAATTCAACTATGCATCTACGGTACTCACAACACTTATCGAATTTTTCACAACAAATTTTATCAATTTTTATTAAAATCTACTAAAATAAAAAAAATTGTGAACAACCCTCAATGTGAAACAATACACAAAGAGCTTTCAAGCTGTCAATACATCCCCAACTTGCACTATCAGATATAGACCGTTTGGCAAGTACCGATAACGTATAGCAATTGGACCTTTTCCCTTTTGCTGATAAAGCCAATCCTATCACCATCCCTATTTCCAGACTTGATAGAACTTTAGTCTAAACGGATAATCAATAACCAAGTTATGGCACAAAAAATAAAAAATTGGATGGACTTGATGAATCATTTTTCGTCATTTGATCAGAAGCTAGCAATCCAAACGGTACAAATTTTGAAAATCTAACCTGGATTCATCTGTGGAGATACGAGTCCAGTATCTCCGATCATCTATTCCGGTAATTTTTAATCCCTTCCAAGAAATAGCAACACATATTCCTCCTCTACCCTTTTCCAACCAAACTTCCTGCCATGATAAATAAAGACTTGCGCGTTTACAATTTTTTTAAATGAATGGTGACGAGATTGAAGACTTTAGCCAACTATAATATATATCATGTTCAATTACCTCAATTAGACGAAGTAGAGTCTTACCTTGGTGTCACCGGAAAAGCGAATGGGACGACACAATCTGGAGAAAATCTCTTTCTTGGATAAACTCTCCGAAGATTCCTCTTCACTGAACAGCTTTTTCACAAGAATTTGATGATTTTCAGGTAACTTTGATTCCCAAACAACATCAGCAAATGAAGCCTGGTGGAATGTTTTATTCAAACGTGCCAATTTACAGATATCTGAAGTTTCCAAACAAGAGAGAATCAAAGCAATACAGCTCTCTGGTAAGTCACCAAGATTCGGGTTGGAAGGATGAGTTACAATATTTTTCTCAGTTGCCAAACCAGAAAACCCAGCCCCCATATACAAAAACAAAAACCCTAAAATAATCCAAGCAAGAAAATCCAAGAAACTTTACAGGGAAGAAGCATATATTATGGGTTGGATATGGAGAAGAAGTGGAGAGAGAATATATGGACATGAACAAGATATTTGTGCTTTTGGAATGGAATATGTCTTTCTCTATGGGAAGGCAACATTATTAAAAATTAGCATATCGTGTGCATTATGAATAGTTTGTGTGAAGTTCACGCAGTAGAGGATATTTTAAATACCTTAATTGGACAATCTTCAATACAAACAAAATAATAAATATACGTAATCAAGAAAAACCTAAAAAAAAAACTTTTGAACACATTCAACTCTCTAGAGGTCTACAAACACATTTTCATATTAATAAATATTGTATGGGTATTGACTGGGGATGACAAAAAGAAAAAGAAAAATCCATTATACTTGATATTCGTAGAGTTCGCTCCTAATAACTTTGGGATTCCTCTTTTAATCAGGTACACGAGATAGAGATGGGAAAGGTATCAGGAATACAGCCCTCGACTGTTACTTGCCATTTTAAAATTCATTTCAATATTCAAGTTTTTTTTATCTCATAAATAGAAAAGAATTATCATCATTAGTTCTAGAGGAAACATGACTTTTTCTACAATTTGAAAAAACTTGATGATTTTCACCAACTTAAATATTAAAAAATAAAATAAATAAATAAATGGGGGACAGTAAACACATGGTATTTGAGTGCCCCGCCTTAACCGTTGTCATCCCTAACATTGTCGTCCCCTCCATCTGGTCTAGGCAGAGACATAAAATCAATAAATAAATAAAAAATTGTCTATCTAATATCTACTTGACACTAAACGGTTTTAGTATATTGGACACAATGGTTAATCCATTTGTACATAATGGTTTATATATAATAGATTACCACCTCTCATATAATGTGTGGAGCCCGCGTGTATTTAGAAATCCCGACAATGTGGTTTCTACCCTCATTATGAGTAGTAGGTAAAAGATTCGATAAAAAAATCAGTACATATAACATGATCTTTGGATACAATAGGCACAGTGGCTAATAAATTATATTGCATAAATATGTTTATTATATCACATCGATCAAACATATTTTAAATATGTACAATAATTATTTCGATATATCCTCTAGCCTATTTTAACCTGATGAAGTCGATAGCATCGTAAACTCACAGTAATTCATCATTCTAAAAAATTGACTTAGTTTAAGTCGACTTCGTGCATAATATTTGTTCAAATTTAAATTTTAAAACATAAACAAATTTTAATATTAGTCTCTATTATATAGAATTAAGTTCATATTTAACAATCATTATTTCAAAATTCCTTTTTTTTAAATATTTATTTTCAATTATACATTCACGTTCACGTAATCTAAGTATGTCAGTCACTACATGGAACATATGCAAGCTTAGTCAATGACCCTATAGATTTTGTATTATTGTGGTGGTTTAAAAGTCAAATCAAAGGAAATCTGCCATTGGAAATTCAGATACACGTGATATTAATATAGGATTTGCCTGGTTGTCACACCAAGTAATATCCAATAATGGCAAGAAACATGTGATTGATTAATTTTAGAATTCAAC